AGAGGGTGGTGAAGGGTCTCCAGTGTTAGTGAAGTTCTCTTGCACTTCATTGATGGAGCAGGGTAGGAGATAAGCTAGCAGGATGCTTAGAAGCCATCATGGGGATGGCAACTACAGAAATACGTCACAGATGAGCGAGGAGCACAGATCCATACAGGAGACTATATTTTGGTGCACATCACTCCCACAACGCACCGCACAAAGCAGCTGACTGTGGGCTTCTACCACACCAGTCGCATAAGAGTGAATTTACCTTGCAGATAATTAATTTTTGGTATAAAAAGGGTCATCACATAACAGCAAATTCGCACAGAACCCGCATAAAGCGAGGGAAACTTGTATGAATCACATTTAAGGTATTGAGGGAGAGGTGGGAGCTGCTAGCCCAGGGAAGGACTGAAGAGCTGGCTGCCCACTGACTCTGGTGGTGCTGCAGCCTCAACCAAACAGCAGCCGATTTCAGGGTCAAGTGTCTTGCCGTCAGAGCAGAGAGAACGGAGGAAAGAAAAGGAGAGAGATCCTAGCCCACAGCCTACTCTCTGCTACAGGAAGACCTGCAACTTGTGCAGATGGGTTTGTGGCTTAGGGATTGGACTCTTAAGTCATCCCAAGACCCATCAATGAGCTGTAGTAGAAGTCATCCAGTGATGACTGAAGAGAAAACCAGGAAGGGGGTATAGGATAAAAGAAGCATAAAGGAAGGTAGAAAGATTTTTACTCTTCTCTCTCTCACTGCAAGATGCTACTCTATTAACAATTGGTAAAATACATAGCACCATTAGTCTGTGGAACTCATCCTTACCAGTGTTACTGAGGGCAAGCTCAACTAAACTGAAAGACAAATGACAACAGCTACTGTTAAGTGTAAATATCTGGAAAGACATAAACATGCACAGCTAAATTCAGAAAGCCACCTCTAGAGGCACTTTGCAGCTTTTTTATGGTGTGGTATTACTTATGTCTCACTTGACAGGTTTTTGCATCCACCTCTGAAGCATCAGGCACTGGCAGAGAAAGAACAGTGGAAAAATTCTGCCCTAGCTTGGAATGGCAATTCGTATGTTCACTGCCATCAAGATTTTGTACCACATACTCCTGGTAAAAATCCAAGTCAGAGTATATGTAGCAGGTGAAAAGAGAAAACAGATTCTTGTAAAAGTGCTTTTTAGGAGTTAACTGCACCATAGAAACATAAGGTCACGCTATGCAGAATACTAAGACAGCTAGCAGAATGTACTCACGTGTGAGCAAAACAAAGGGCCATAAAGATCCAGAAAAAAAAAAAAGTACCTTTATTAAAAGCCAAAGGACATATATGTTCATCAACTATTTTAAAAAGTTATTTTAATAACTATTAAAAAAGTTATTAGTAAACAAGCTTATCCAGTACATCTTATTAGAATGTGCCCACTCTACTATCCTACTGTAGAGGAAAAGCATGGGTTTGTCATGTTTTGAGTCTGAATTCTAGTTAGAGGGTATTTTATGCAAAAAGGACCTTCATGCTTTGCAATTCACTTTTCCTATTTAAGTCACTTTGGGAGCAGGGTAGAGTCTGTCTGATTCAGGTTAACTTGTACCACCTGTTGGGAATTTTGGGGGAGACAAGGCAGCTCTTACGAAGAGAAAAAGTGTCCGTTAAAGGCCATAAATGGGTGAACCAATAGACTGTAAAAAAAATCATATTTTACTCAGTTATATTAGCCATATACTGACATTATTATTTTATACTAATGTAATATATCATATAATTGTTAGCTATGCCTCATACCTGTGGTCCCATCACAGAAGAGAGATCCCAAGTTGCTTGCAATTTCAAAGGCCAAGACACCTTAAACTCCACTCAAATTAATAGTTCAGAGTAGCAAATATTAGTGCAAGACATTCAGTATGAAAGCCTAAGTAACAATAAATCAGCCATACAGGAATCCATTTGTTTAATGGCTCTGTAGCATAACTGATAGCATGCTATAGTCATTTAGACTGTAGCCCAATATGGAGTACATTGATTGTTGCAATTTCAAGTTCATATGGAAGGGAAAATAATTTATCAGATGCAACTTGATTGCTTGGGTTTATAAAATAGTTAAAGATACTTATCTTAAAATAAAAGTTAGCTGGCTCAAGTTTACACTTCAGAACAATTCTTCTCAGAATGTTGCTTCCCCCACCCACACCAAATAAAAATCCAGTAAGACTACGTTCATATATTAATTTTTATTTTCCCATACATTATTCACAGGGTCCGTTTTTTGTCTTATTCAAACTAACAAAGGTTTTCAAACTAAAACAAGAAGTGACATTTCAGGACAAAAGATTCCGTAAACATAAAACATCCAAGGAATACTCAAAAGCCTGGTGTCTTTTGCAGTTCAGAGAGTTTTATTTAATCAATTTGGGGTGATTTATTTGTGTACCACACCTCATACTTGAACCATTTTCTTAATATAAAAGGAAGATGCAGCTTCAGCCAACATCTTAGAAAGTTTGTTCACCCACTGTTGAAATATTAAACACCTCTGTTATGCCCTATTTATTCAACCACTTACTCTAAAAAATATATACAACTATGTTTAAACGTGTATTTGTGCCATGTTTTTAGAACATAAAAATAAAGGCATTTTTAAACTACCACTGCATATTACTCAGCAATATACCAGAGGATGGGTTTGAATACCCAACTTCAACTTGAAAGTCAATTCTGCTAAACCTCTTGCGGTAGGAGGCATATTGAACCAAACAGTCCCATTTCACACATTCAAACATTAAGAAATAAGAAAGAGACAGGAAAGACAGACTAAGTGTATTATATGTGAAGATAAGCCAATATTTGGCCTACACCATTATTTACCCATTTTGACAGCAACACAAAGCAACTGATTTCACTTCTTTAAAACAAATGGTTTCCATTGCAATTAAGCTATTAATTAACTGATCAGCTACTTAACAAGTGATAGTTCAAGCTTCAGAAGATTACAATGGGACACTGTCAAAACTGGGTATTTTCATTTTCCATAGCAAACATGCAACACTTGCACTAACTGTGCTGTTTGTCTCATTAGTGTGTGTAACGAAGCCTAAATGAATCCTGTGTGAGACTGGTTTGCCACAACACACAAGAGTAAAGCAGACAGGCACAATCAGGAAAGAGCATCACATGCAGGTGCAAGCCTATGGTGTTTGTGACAAAAGTCTGTGCATCAGTATTTTTTGCAACTTCGTAGTCAGTGTTGCCATTGTTCCCCCTCCCCCACCACCAAGAAAACAGAATTGCTGTACTTGAACAAAAACACTCCTGCCCCATTTATGAGGACATCAAATGGATTTCTGAAACTAAGAGATATTATGTTTTTCACTTACCAACCCCTGTGACTTTTCAACAGTATCAAGTTAACTTTAGTTTTTCTTTAATATTTCAGAGTACAATAACTGGTCAATTCACAAGGATAAATCTAGTTCATTCTTTTCTTAGTCTGAGCATTTTAATTTCAAATGGCCATAGTTTACACTGCATGTCCAAGTGCAATGTGTATATATACTTTTTACGTTTTTTCCAGAGTGGGAAATAAATGGTCAACACCAGCAGTAAATCAATCTCTATCCTTTTTAAACTAGGATTAAGTATGCAGTACCAGTTTTAGTAAAATTGTGAATTGAAATATATGAAAGCCCTGCATTTTCATGTCTTATTTTAGCTGTAATTTCTCCTGTGCACTTGAGAATTGGCAAGAGTCCCTTTTTCCTTCCAGAATAATCTGGAGCTGTTAAACCTTACTCCGAATAGCTCAATTTAAGAAATTTATGTACAGATATTTGCTATCTCCCATGTCCAAATAAAGCAAGATTTTGCAGAGTATGAACTCTACCACAACTATTCAAGACATGAGGAATGGAAACAATTTAGTCTACAAACCTACCAAAAAGACGCCTTGAAACATTTAAAATATCACATGACCATTAGCAAAGAGGTGGTAGTTAGATGCCCAAGGCCATTATGTATCAGTGCACCATGCCCATGGAGATAAAATTTTCAGAACCTGTGTGATGCAATTATCTAATTGGACTCTCACTAGGATAATAATAAAAGCTTTATATGTGCCTTGCAGAGATGTCATACAACCTCATCCAGTGTTGGTGCTGTGTTGCTTAAGGAGACAGTTTACCTCTGGTGTCATATTCTGGAAACCACCAGCAGCATACAAAGACTGTACAACTTCAGTGACAAAATTACAAGATTCTCCCTATTTTATTGCATTTTTTTTAAAAATAAAAACCTTGGAAATCAACAGAGCATTGAAAGTTTGTTTCCTGAGTAGTCTCAGTCTACATTTTCTTCAGTAAAACAGAAATTCCATTACATTTTAGCATATAATGCAATTTTTCCCATAAATATTTCCAAGTATAAAACTCAGAAAGTGTCAAAGATGGAAAGGTATCAGGCAACTGGAGAATCTGTCCCACAATGTAGTGTTAGCTTGTAACACTTTACAAATAAGCAAAGAAAGATGACTGGATTTTCACAGCAAATCAAAACAATGCAGTACAATGTTTTGTGACTACAGCTCCTCACGTTTGCTTTCGTTTCTAATCCAACACTTTCAGCCTAAAATACTAAAATGCCATCAATTTTTCACATGTACACTTTTCAACATTTTTTTAAAGCATTATACCGCACATGGGTAATCTTATTGGTAATATCAAACAAATTAGATTAATCAGTAGAAACAGAACAAATGAAAAAAAAATCCCACAGGTCACTGCTGGATGTTTAATACAAAACATCCAAAAATAGTACATTCCAAAGTTTTCCAACTATTTCAAATAAGGCATCCCTTCCACAATTTCTGGGCATTTTTTGTAATTTTTACTGAACAGGGATGGGCAAAAATATTTAAGATGTTGCTCATATTTTGTTCTTTTGTACCTACAATTAATTGGAGAATAGCAATTTTACAAATGAAGTGTGCATTGGATCAGAGACATCATCTCACTAGTAGTTATGATCCAACACGGGTTGTGGTGGTTCTTTTATCTGAAAAGAAGCTTTTGAGAAGAAACACCTGCCCAATACTAACTACAAGAAGAATGATTGCTTCCCCTATTGACCAATATGCCACTCTCGTGTTCAGGTCTTCTGCCCTGCTGCGGCCTTGTGCTTCTCTCAAGCGGAAGTGAGTCTGATAATCGATGACAGACTTCAAAGCTTCATGAATTGAAACACAAGCAGACTCCATCTAGACCAAAAAAGGAAGAAAAAAAATTTTTAGAGTAGTAAAAAAAAAAAAAAAAAAAAAGAAAAGAAGATGGTTTATTTGAGTGTATACAGTTGCCCCTACCATAATTTTATGACTTAGTGTTTCAATCTATTTGTTTTTAAACTGTCAAATTGGACACACTTTACACCTTTCTCCAACCACTCAGGTTTAATACAAAAGATATTGATCTTAAATAGTCACAAAACAAGACTCAAACACCACATGATTCTCAATTCATAAGAGAATATAAGTATGTCATACTGAAGAACACCACTGTTTGGTTTAGTCCAGTATTACCATCTCCTCTGTGCATCTAGTAGCAGCAGAGATGCAAGATACCCTGATTCAATTCCAGGAAGTTAATGCATCATAGCATTAATAAAGAAAAAAAAGTCAACTATTAACAGCTATATACACTAATATTTTAAAAATTGTGGTTGTTCTAAGCCATGTATGTAATATTTTAAAATCCTGAAAACATCTCAATTAGTACAATCTTGGGCAGAGCATTCTCCAGATCACACACGATATAAAAATTCCCTTTTTTCATTTTTAATTGTTGCTCTTCAGTATCATTGGATGCATCTGTTCTATATTCTGAAAAGGACAAAATACAGGGATGCACAACTGGTCCTCTGTACCATTGCTTATAAACTATTGCATCCCCTCTCTAGAGTCTCCTAATCTGCCTCCCCCCCCAAACTTTTTGGATGCAACACTATTTCCAATCATTTGTCACTTACTACAGAAATGAGAGAGCTTGAAATGCGACTCTGCAAAAGATGTGTCATCTTGGCCATATTTATCTCTATTCAGAAATTACTGTAACCACGTATTTAAAGCTCTCTGAACTTCACTCAGATAAAATACAGTAATCATGTACATTGTTAAAGGATGAATGGTGCAAATGTTAGGAAAAGGTGGAAAAAAAAGTCACCTGGAATCAAGGCTGACTGACAGTTCCCATGAGATCACATTCTAATTGCTCATATTGCTGTCAAATTAACTGTCCAGACTGATTTTTTTTAAACTAGCTGCCCAGCCAGTAAATTGTTTCAGATATCCAGAGAACATGCTCTGGAGATAATACTGCTTTGCTCACATTAAATTCCAAAAGCAGATTTGTTGAGAAACTCTAGAGCCTTGGAACAAGGACTTAAGAGTCCGTCATGGGGTCATCCTACAGAAAATTCTCAAGTTAGACCAATCTATAAAACCTCAGAAAAAAGTACAGACATCATATTTTCTTATTTTACGCATTTATACCAGCCACATAACTAGCTGTATAATTATATATTAATGCAATATAAAATGATATATCATCATAAATCCCTGAAGATTCTGGCTGAACTAAGCATTCTTCAACCCAGAAATGAGAAAGATTCCTTCCACAAACCAGGGGCTACCAAGGTGTCTAACACAGGAACAGAGCACAAAGAGATTGTGCCTCTCCTGTGTTCTCGATGCTCCCGCTTGGGGGGTTGTCCCAGCAGTGAGGAGGAGAAGCTGAAAGTAGTCACACTGGAATGAAGATGCGAAAAGGAGGAGAAATGAGATATAGGGTGGGTGAGATGTACAGGAACCAGAGGGCATGCAAGTGTAGATGACAGTAACTGAATGGAGGTGAAGCAGACAGAAGCAGATCAGGAAAAAAGAAGACATGGGGCACACACATTGCAGAAGGTCCTTCAATTACTATACCAATACACTTCACTACAAAAAACTGGAATTGAAGCCAGGTGTTTTTTGTATCATTGTAGTAAAACCTATTTGTGAGAGAATATTGGATCTTCTCAATCCAATGGAAAGAGGACATTGAGGATATTTGGGGGAGCATGCTCATACTTTTTAAATGGCTATTTTGGAGTGAATTTTATCGCTGTTTATAATATAAGCAAATTAGATACAAAACAAGTTTGGTTCCAGTCCAGTTGAGCTCTACTACTAGTCTTTTCTTTAAGTGTCCAAGTCAAAATAAGACAGATTGTTAACCTGAATATTTAAAATTTCCCTCAAGAAATCCTACAGTGGTGAAACAAATTAAATTGAAAATATAATGCATATCGAATATTCCTGCAAAAGGGCAACTTAAGTAGTCTAGTTTGAAAAAAATGAAACTGCAACAGATCTCCTTTCACACGCATATAGAGTCAAGGTGCTGAAATGCAGCTCTCTGAGGAAAAAGATGCCAGCCTGTGATCTGAATAATTCAGAGGATTAGCATCTTCCTCAATGTAGCTGTTTATAGTTAAACATTTAGTATTAGATTAAAAAGAACAAATATTTTACTCTAAGGATGAACGGTCATTAGTAAAAATATGGGGCATAGAGATATTAGTCTGTAAGCCTTAAGTACATTTCATTCATCTGCACTATTCTTTTTTCAGCTGCCCCATTCCCCCCCTGCCATTCTGGAACGGGAGCTCACATGGCTATCAGCAGATGTACACATCTGTTATACTTTGCTGCAAAATGAATAAGCATAGAGTCCAGTTAAACTACAAGAGCCCCTTAATAGAGGAAACTGTTTCCCAGCAATCCCACATTTATCTGCCACCTCCTTCCAGAACAGCATCTAGGAACTGATTGGTACATTCGCTGTTAAACATTTGTGTCCTACGAAGTAGTGCTTTTCCACCATAAAACTTACCTTAACTTTGTTAAATAATGTATTGATAATTATTTTCCTATTGCTAACTAGGAGTTTAAGTTCCTAGATATTATATTTTCTTCAGATGATTAAATTATTGCCACTTAGTTTTCTGCAAGCTCAATTATAAATCCCAAGTTTAACATAAAAAAAAATTTCAAGTTCTCGGGCTTCTTTAAAAACAAAAAAGCAAACCAAAAAAACCCATCCAAAAACCACATGGTTAGGTTAACTACCTAGTCCCACCAACTTTCAAAGGATACGGATACTTAACTCTCAGGCAAGCTAGAGCAAATATGGATGAGTTTTGCTATCTGCCCTTTGGCTGTCATAACTAAATCAGCAGTTTACCTGAGTAAGGGCAGTGACTCTGTTCTCACTAGGAAACAGAGGTGGATCTTCTCCAACTTGGAAGTCAAAGTACACAGTTTTGTGTGTGAAAGTAGAAAATTCATTGCTGAAGCAGAATTTATATGTTCCATTCCTGGATGCAGTAAAGGTAAAGCTATCATATTGTTTCTTCATCTCTTTGTACAACACAATGCCGTCAGGATCTTCCAACCGGCAGTCAACATCATAATGACCTCCAGTGATCACCTGTAGAATGAGAGATGATCAATTGATTTATATATTGGTCTATGGAAATGAACCGTTTTATATATTTGTGCCTCACACCAAGAGAAGAAAACCTCAGAACAAAAATATTGTAATTGTTGTAAGTTTCAAGCAGTTTATTTATATACTTTAGAAAGTTTAATTTACTTTCGCCATTCGCAAGACCACAATAGACATGGCACAAGAAACTGAATTCAGGCCACAAATGAAGTTAAGACAACAGAATGTTAGATGTAGTGAATTCTTCATTGTTCCTTTGCCCAATCCTCAGGCACAACCCAACTGATTTTGGAACAGGACTGTGGCTCTTCTAGCAGGTCAGGATTACTAGCAGGTAGTAGTGTTAGTCACACCACCTTTCTGCATGTCTGGATGGGTATGGCACACACCCAACCTGTTACATCAGGTTGTGTCTGATTTGCACTCAGGAGTGGTATAAAACAGGTAAAAACTGGGACTGAGAAGTCTCATTTTCACACAAAAAAGAAAACAAAAGGAAATACTACAAGTAAAACAGCTTATTGTTGTTCTTTTAAAAAAAACCTGAAGCCTCATGGTATACAGGTAATGAATGCACTGTAGACCTCTAAAAAAGGCTTTGTACATAAGTCCTCAAGGGAAACCTAGTTTTTAGAACTTCTGTTATGTTTGACAATCTAATATTTCAGCAAATACTGTGGACAACTACATGTTCACCACTTAAACACAACTGCAACACCAGTTATGTTGCATAAAAGGTATGGTGGTGTCATTTCCCTGAACTGATAACATCAGCTGAAACCTATGGTGACACGTTTCAAACAACTGTTTCTTAAGATGCAAGTACCCTCAGAAATTTCACATTAGGTTTCCAAGATAAAACTTTAGCTTGCAGAGCTATTCCCTTAAGTTAATAGGAGCTGTTTTTTTGGCAACCTGAATGACAAAAATGATTTAAACAATAGAGGGACAAAATGACTTTTTTCCCCCCATTGGAAAACCAGATCCTCCCCCGAATCTGGAAGAGGTTTCAAGCCTGGAGACGAACCAAGCAAGTACCCATATGACAACAGATGATAAAAATATTTTTTCCTGTTGTTTATAGAAACACAGAAAAGTAGATACAAATGACATTAGAAGATCATTCAGGTTTCAAAATCAAGTACTGAAGGGTTACTAGATAAGAGAATTAGGTTTTTCCTGTTCAGCCCCTGCCCAAGTATGCATCCACTAGGACACAATCAATCCATTGGATCCCACTAGTTTTCCTAATGGACCTCTGCCTGTGAAATAGGGGTAACAAGAACACTGTTGAGAAAGTAATTTAACATTTACAAAACATTTAATTCAGCAGTGATAATGAGGAGCCCCAGAAAAGCCTATATAGCAGTCAGTAACTGTGACATCAGGGCAGGATTTGAATTACAGACATTGTATTTGGCATGTGGCCATATGTCACCCAGCAATGAAAAAAAACAAAGCATGGACTAGCTGGTCACTAAGGAACATGCTCATTCAGTAAGCACCATACATCCTGTGCACTGAAGCGAGGCAGAGGCCCGGTGGAAATACAGTACGCATGAGGTAATTAAAGACTGCAGCATAACATCCACATACAAAGAGGAGTAAGTGCAAGGGAGTTTGGTAGCCTTTATTCTCCTATTACCCAACTTGTGAGTGCTTATGGCATTTACCTTAATGCACTTTCTCCACCAGAGCACATGAAGACAAGGAAACAGGCTTTGCATCCTCCTGCACCAAAGCAGGTAACACCGAACAGCAGAACAAACTGGCCACCTGCATGTGTACTCTGCTACAGCAGGAAAGGGACACCCCTTGGATGCAGAGGGCCTACTCTCTTCAGACAGCACTGGCTTTTTGCCTCTGAACTAGGCTTCACTATTGGTACCCAATTTTCCCAGCACAGTTGGAGGAGGGAGGGCACAGCTCCAGGGGCCAGATCCAGCACAGTTGCCAAGTCAGACACCCCCTGCACCAGCCTGCCCCATTTGACTCATGGTGGGGGGCTACATCCAGCACAGCAGGGGGTGCTGTGCAGTGTTGCCAAGTGCATGATAATTACTGTATTCCTACTATCGTTTCAACCCTTGTACAATACACGATCCATATCATTTCTGAGGCAGCTAAGTGATGCAACCTATGCAATACCTAAATCATTCTCAGAGTCTTAACCGACTTTTGAGTTTCCCCTCAGCACTTTCTTACAACCGCTTGCCACAAAATAAGGAAATGTTTCAACTTTGATGACCCAGTTCTTACTCCCTGGCGACTTACAGTGAACAACACACAGTAAAGGAGGTTTATTTGCATACTGTTTCAGTGTAGATGGTTTTTCAGCAAATACGAGAACTTTGAGCTAACAATGTGATCATTTTATATTTAAGGCTTGGCTCAGCTGCTGACTGATGCAGGCAGGGTGCGGCCTGCAGGCATACCCAGAGCCGGGGCTGGATTAACAACCCTTTAGTGGGCCCATGGCAAACAAACAAACTCGGAGGCCCCCCGACTGAAAAGAAAATGTTTATATTCCTTCGTTTCCACTCTGCACTGTAATTGTAATGTGTAAAATAAGCACAACTGGGCCCCTTCTTCACTTAGGGCCCTCGGTATGTGCCTAGCTTGCCGGCCCTGGCCCGAACACGCGGGGGGAGGCCCGCGCGGTACCTGGAACTCGAGGGTGCACTTAGTGCCCTGCGCGATCTCCTCGTAGAAGCACTGCTTCGCGTTGTCCGGCAGCTCGAACGTGATCTCGGAGGCCCGGACCGCGCAGCTCAACAGCGGCAGCAGCAGCAGCAGATGCGCCGCCAGCC